TGTTCATTTGTTTGAGGAGTTGTATATATCGCCTATCGAGACAAACCATGGAAACTATATAAACATCTTTCATCTTGCCTAATTTTGACTGTTGCTCGCACATTTGTGATAACTGTACTCACAAACTATCGCGTATTTTAGAAAGCTTTGGGACGCCATGGGCGTTCAAAAAGTTGTCAGCCTAACTATATTCTCGATGTCCAATGTTTGAAAAGCTTCCATCTTATTTTGAAGAAATCATTAGCAAGGCGATTTTCAAAATTTCACGTATGTGGGTAATGTGGTTGACGAGATGTTAGTCATCACAACACATTGGGGTATAATATTTCTTTTTAAAAAAAGAGAGCAAAATTATGGTTTTCAAAATGGATGTACCTCTCTCTAAATCCGAAAAGTGGCATTTTGAAGGGAAACCTTTAAAAGCTGTAAATGTGTATAAGTACCTCGGACTAATGATGACGCCAAAGCTATTTTGACAAAAGCATGTAGAACATTATCGAGCCAAGCCAGTAAAGTGTTAAATCCCAGTTAAAGCTCTCATCAGACGCCTGAATATATCCGTAAATGAAGCTATCAATATATTTGACATGAAATTTGTGCATTTTCTTTCATATGGAGCGGATATATTGATCTTGTTCAAAGAAAATTCTACAAATACGTTTTAGGACAAGGCTATAAATCTTCAAACTGTGTAGCATATGGAGAATGTTGGAGAAACCCTCTATGGACTGTATATATGTGCAAATGTGTAAAGTATTGGCTCCGTTTGATAACTCTTCCTCCGAACAGATACACATAGCAGTGTTATAAGATGCGTTTATCGATATCAGCCCGAAGACGTAACAATTGGACAAAAATACATACGGAATCTTCTATTTAGATACGGATTCGGGCATGTATGGCTTTCTCAAGAAGTTGGTAATGAGGAACTATTTATAAACATTTTCAAACAACGTTTATTAGATACCTCAGCTCAAATGTGGCATGAACGTCTTGACAGCGATTCACTTACATTTTACTCTTCTTTTAAATCTCTATTAGAGTGTGAACATTATTTATCTGTAGTAACATCACCTATTCAAATACAGACCTTAACTAAATTTCGAAGTGGCAATGTGAACAGTGGAGTGGTGAAACTAAGAAGAGGACAGAGCACCGTAAATGATATTGACATATTGTGTAGGACATGTTTATCCCTCGAAGATGAGAGCCATATATTGTACGACTGCATCATATTTACGGACATAAGAAAAGAACTCATTCCAAAGAAAAACGATGGACATTACATATCTATTTATTCACTCTTCGATTCTCGAAACTATATATTTTCCATGTGTTTAAACACCGAGGAGAACTGTAAATTCTAACTTACTGTTAAATGGCTTTGAATGTTTAATGAATATGTACAATGGGTCGTATGGCCTTTAATACGAAATAAACATACATACGAACATACATACATACATATACATACATACATGCATGCATACATACATACATACATACATACATACATACATACATACATACATACATACATACATACATGGGGGAGTCACTGTAACTAGTCATTGTAGTTTCAAATTGCTGTTTTAATATCTAAGTTTGATTCTAGCGGATTTCTGCTTATCTCAAACACAAAATGTTTCTTGCATGTTTTGTTTCCTGAAGTTTGTGATGCATATATTGGGAGTACCAAGATGAAAAGTCAAACAAAATGGGGATCGTGAGGCTGGAACATAGCAAAACCAATTTGCTTGAGGCTGACAGATTGTGTAGAAAAATAAAACATAAAAACAGCTGCATTTGCATCATTTTCTAGGTGAGGCTGACTATTTTGAACGCCCCTCGCATATGTCGTGCAGTTTGTAATACAAGTCATGATAAACTTTATAGCGAGACCAAAACCTAGCCCTAAGGGACCGTTCATAATTTATGGCGGGGGGATGATTTTAAGGGGGAGGGGGTTCGCCCATTTTGTACTGGGAGGTAGGGGGTCAGCAATTTTGTACATACAAATATTTAAAAATTATGCTTAAAAAATATGGAAAGGGGAGGGGGTCATTGACTTTGTACATGACATGCAGGGGGGTCACTTACTTTGTACATAAAATTTAGGGGGGGTCATTCACATTGTACATGCTTCTCCATAAAAATCATCATCACACACACCACACCCCACACCCTAGCCATAAATTATGAACGGTCCCTAAGAGAGACGATAGAATCCTATACTAAGTTCTAAAGTACAAGGTATTTACTGTAGGACTGCTGTTAATGCCATATACTTCTTACCTGAAACAATAATTTTATGGAATGCTCTAGCTAATAAGTACAAAGAGTCCAGCAGACCCTATGAATTTAAAAAGTTAATAACAGGATTTGACAATACATTTTGCCCTATATACTTAAGATCTCGTTTTTGAGAAATCATATACTGCCACCTCAGGCTCGGTTGTAGTGACCTGAAAGCTGACATGCATAACAGACATGTATATGACCGGCCAGGCAGTTCCTACAGATGTCACTCCGAAGAGAAGAAGTTTGTATAACCATGGCTATAATCTGGAAAACATCATGAATGGAAACGGATATTTGACTACTTCTGAAAATATGAAAATTCTGGAATCAATTCACAATATAATCATAAAATCACAACGTTTCAAAATCTACACATCAATTCCATTGAATCCTCAGACAACCAACTTGTAGGTGACCAATTAATTATACAGTGAGACCTCGGATATCCGGACACATTCGTTTTTACGTAAATCGTCCGGATAATTGAATATCCGGATATCTGGATTTTTGGTTTTCATACACCTCAAGGAAAATCCAAAATATTTATGATCATCAAGCGTTTACTATACATGTATAGACATTCAAAAACAGCATCACAACATAACTGGCTTGAATATCGACACACTGCACTTTTATTGCTTTGACTGAATAAACAACATCGTATCACTTCGCGTGAACAAACAACAGAAGACAACTTTGTCAGTAGAGACGTCAAATTTGCAATTAAACATCACTAGACAAGATTATTTACCTTTTAAGTTATAAGTTGTTTTTTGCTGGGCATTGTATTATTTGCAGGGATTAAGATTATTGTATATGTGTTCATTTGATAGACTGTGTTTTAAATTATACTCTATAAAGACATCGTAAAGAAACGGTTTCAAAATGTCTTAGTAGAAATATTAATGTCGAAGGAGTGGAACGTTATCGTCAATCTAGATGCCCCCAAAGTCAGCAAGCGAACTGAGGTAATCACACTGACATTTTCTATGATATTCTCACGTCTGTCATATCTAAGGTTGGTTTATCTCGCTTTATCTAAACGCGACATGATACTCTGAAACGACTGCGTGTAAACAGTAGATACGGTTATAGGTATCGCACATTAAATGGTCTGAGAGCGTGCCTCCAATAACATATTTGTGATAATCGTACCTTCAAAATATACCCTAAAGATATTTTGGCTGACTGAAAGATTTCCAAATTAGAGGAACTATAAGCCATAACCCAATAGTCATCATTATTTTACCGGCAAGGCTATTATCTCTAGAACCTTTCGAATGTGAGATACGAGCATGTCATACAGTTTACAGTGTAATTTTGTGCTTTTTTATATCACCGTACTAAGAATCTAGAAAATGTGAAATTTCAAATATACCTCTTTGATTTATTTTTATAATCATCAATTGAAAACACGAAAACAAGCTTCAATAATATTAAGAGTTATATAATGTTATCATTAGAAAGACAAACACTGATGTTTATCATCTGAAACATTATTAAAGATTCATTTAAGTGATCATACAGTTACAGTACAACCAGACATTATTGAGAATTTAAAGATTATAATTTATTTTTTCACTCATTACTCACGTATTAATTGTGAATATTAGCAGAATATTAGCAGAACATAACTCCAGATTCAAAGACAGTATGAACAGTTAGTATTTTGTCAAGTCACCATGGGCAGCAATGTAGGCTTCAATGCGGCGGGGCATACTACTGATCAAAGAAGTTAGAAAGTCGTGGTCCATGCTGTCCCAATATCGGACCACCTCTTCTTTCATTTCAGCAATATTTGTCAGATTTGTCTTATTGACACTTTCCTTCATAAGTCCCCGAACATTTTCAATTGGATTTAGGTCAGGGCTATAGCTTGGCCAATCTAATAATGTCATATTTTGGGTCCGAAACCAGGCCTGTGAATGCTTTGAACGATGTTTTTGGTCGTTGTCCTGCTGGAAAATCCAAACATTTCCATAGAATACGTGAGCAGATGGAAGTAAATGAAAATCACATTGCCCCAGTTAAAATTTCTATGCTGTAAGAAGCACCAGTTCAACCTTCGCTCCTTTTGTTCAGGTTTCATGATCGGTGATGGAATTCCTCGACTTTTCTGCCAACCCATTGCATGCAGCTCAGTGCTAATTGTCTCCTTACAGACAGCCACAGTTCCTCTATCAATCATATCTAGCCTTAAGTTTTCCAAACTCCTTCGTTTGTTCTTAGAAACAAAAATACAAAGCCGCCTCCTGTCACCGACAGTCAATTGTCTGGGCCTACCTGCGCCTCCCTGGTGCTCCATGCCATATCCATTTGCAATATTTTTCAAAACACGATAAACAGTGGACAAAGGGATGCCTGTTCTACTTGAAATCACTTTAGCTGATCTGATGTCCTTGTAATAATACTCTAAAATCAACTTCCTCTTCTCTAAATCATCCATACTGAGGATCACTGAAAATGTCGTCTGCTAGCAAGTAAACAAAGGGGGATAAATCTTCACAACTAATGAAAAAGGATTAACGGAGTTGTCTCTCTTGAATGAAACCAAGCACTTGATAGCTGGTCAAGGTTGTTTATACTAGAAATCCAATTAAACATATTCCTAACATTCTCAATAATTTCTGGTCATACTATATATGTACGCTTCACATATGTACATGTATGCAATGATTGAATAGATATTCCCGCTTCCATTAATCTGTGTTCCATCTTTCACTCACCTCGCCGTTGAAGAAACAAAAGAGAAGAGCCACAACAGCACCCTGAAACAGCGTTCAACATGTCATATCAGCACAGACAGAGAGAATAGAGAAAAATAACACGTTCGTTAATAATTGTCGCTACAATTGTACTTTCACTGAACAGTGTATGACGCTGCTGACACTGATAATGATTCAAACCTTTCTTTCTCACAGATACATACAAATAAAATGGCACTTGCACCTGCGTATTGGTGATAACTTTGGCGAAGATTTCATACATCTGTGTCCAGAAACTGTCTGTGATCGGCCTGTAGACTACCAGGAATAGTTGAAGACCAAACAACGGAACCAACACAAAGGTGGCCTTGAGCGCTCGCCTGTAAAACGTTAAAAGACTTGCCTGTCATTCTTGTTAATTATTGAATCTGCTTGGGATCTGACACCGACAATCGTGGCCAGGGCAGATCTTCATCCACATGACTGCTTCTATGTTTAAAGAATGTCATTATTATGCCCCGAAGCATCTGTGGCCAAACTACTGCCACTAAGGGGCGCGTCCAGTTTGTCAACCATTAGTAACTATAGCGAAGAGTCGATGCCTACATTGGTAGCTAAATCTTGTAATACTGTTTTATATATGCATGGTGCGTGTAGTGATGACATCTCAAACCCTTAAAGTATTTATTTACAGGCAGAAGCTAGGGTAACCTAGAAAATGACTCTCACACTGAGGAGATAGGTCTACGGCGTTTACAGAACTTGAATGTATACCTCTTATTTTAATTTGTAACCAGCACTTCAGCGACAAGAGAACTTTGAAGACGGTGTACCCTTGGAACAAAAGGTCTGTTATCTCAGAATATTTCGAAAAAGGTAACGGGCAGTGTAACGGCCAAAATCACATTACTTTTACATTAACAGCTGTGTTAGTGCTTTTTTCTTTAGCGGTATGCATTTTAACCTTTGAGTTTGGAGTAACCTGCCTTGAGCACGGACTTTTCAAATCTGGCAGCGCACATGGTCATTAGCACGACAAGTTTCGATGAGACAAGTTGAAAATGCCACCGCAAACAAACGGTAACTATTTTATCACCAATGTTTTCTTTGTTAATCTTTCATAAAAGTAGGGAAAGTTAGAAGTAAACTTCATTCATTTTAGCTTTCATTTTGTATTTGAACTGGACATGTGTTAGCATTGTTTATGCTATTTTTCATAACAATTTATAGGCAATTACCGCAAACTTACAAATTATGTTTGTGTAATTTCAACTGTAATGTAGTGGTAGTGGTAGTGCTAGTTATATTTGGTGTGAATATTTTCAGTGAAGGAAACTTTGTTTTGCCTTTTTGTAAGAACTACCGTAAATGCCCTAAATATTTGCATCGATTTATTTTCTAAGAAATACATTTTATTTTGGGCTTTTCTTTGTTTATAAGTTGAAGACATTTTTCCAAATAGCTTTGGCATAAGGCCATTGATATTTTATTTACAATATTTCATTGCATAAGGCAATTATGTTCTTTTTCCTAATTGCATAAGGCAGTTGTAGGCATTATCATTCATTATTGTCTAAGGCTGTTTCAGGCTATGTTCTCATGTGACTGGATATAAACGCTTTTGTTTTTGTGTGTATATGATATACTATAAGTTACTATTATTGCTCATGTTAGTAATTAAGAATTTTGTTATGCTTTTTCAGTCAATCTGAATCTGTAACAGTGAAAATGAAACTGAACTGTAAGGATGCAAGGTTAAGAATGAAGAAGGAATGCAATAATAAAGAAAGAAAATCACAATAATAAAGAAATTATAACAAGAAACTGAGTTTGTGCACTCTAGAACATACAGGCAGTTATAAATGTAATAACTAATACTAATGTTCAAAATTGTAATATTCATAGCCTTTTCAATCTAAAATACGGGTTCGGGAACAATTTTTCTAAAAGAAATTAATAAATAACCACACGGCCGCAAATGTTTTAATTGTATCGTAACCTGTTGCAAATTTGCAGTTTTGACTCACCAAGTCATTTCTTGGAAATCCATCTCCCAATGTAGGGAAGAGAGGTTGGAGAAATTGTGAAAAAAATGCTGAACGAATATATTTTGCGTGTCTTTTTATAAATAGCAAATCAAGACATGTATGTACTACGTCACTAGCCATACATGTACAACTGATGCTGCTGATGTTGATGACCCTCTATTGTCTGTACTTCCTTACATCATTAAGATAAATTAACGTATGCACCTATCTCATACTTGATACGTGACATGTTTCGCTGCCTTCGTGACTAACTGACATACTCATGTGTTAGATGTGTAAACTAGCCACAAAAATAAGACATCAAATACGTCGAGTCCAAACTTCTTTAGCTGGTCGTATAGAACACGAATTACGACAGCAATGAGCGAACTTTCTGGCTCAGACATAAATGAGTTGATCGGATTTACACCGGCAGTCGGAATGTCAGAACATCAATAACAGTATTTGATGAAAGTGACAGTGTCGCGGGTTGGCCGTAAAGACATTTTACAATTCACTGGTGATGAGGATTAGAAATAGATTGCAATAAGCTACATAGCATTTGGCCTTTGAAATTATTCGACTGTCATAAATCAATCGCAATGATATAAATGCGAAATGATGAAATGCATTGAATAAATGAATATTAGTATTATCTTTTATTTAATACCCCCTTCACACTTGAGGCGGAATGAGCCGGAATGCCGTCGGAATGAAACCTATCGGAATATTTCGATTGCACTTGGAATACAGCTCGCATGTACATCGAATGCTCCTCGAATACAGTCAGAACGTCTCGAATGCGCTTCAAATGAGTCATCAGAACACCGCCGAATCCCTTAAAAACGTCACTGAAACTTCAGACATCATTCACACCTTCAATCTGTGCAAGTTGTCTCCAGCCTCCTGGCACCACGTTGTGCTGCTCATCTTCCTCATCCACCATACCATTGTGGAGATTAGGATAACGAGTCCTCATCAAGTTGTGCAGGCAGACACAGCATTCAATGATGTCCTTCACAACGGAAGGCCTTGGCAGCATGGTGGTGAGGAGGATTTGCCAACTGTGGGCCATGATTCCAAATGCATTTTCCACTACCCGTCGGCCCCGACTGATCCTGTAGTTGTTGATTCTCTCGTCTCTCTGGAGAGTCATATGACCATACGGTTTCATCAAGAAGGCTCTTAATCCAAAGGCATCATCTCCCAGATGGCATACGCTAGTCATCTTGTGGTAAGGAGAACGGATCAGGAAATCCTATGCTCCCGTCTTCAAGACAATCCTAGAGCTCGCATTTGTTGGAGATCTGAGCATCAGACATACTTCCGTAAGCACCAACGTCCGCCCACAAGGGCCATTTGGACCACAGAAAAGAAGCCCTTGTAGTTGTGACACATTGAGCTGCCCTTGGCAGGTTTCCTAATGGTCACATGTTTGTCATCTAAAGCTCCTACGGCATGAGGTATATTCAACCTGTTTCTTCAATGGGTGTCCATTCTGCTGGAGTGGTAGGGCAGATGATAACCTCATCCTTGTATTCCCCCAAATGACCTTACATACTTCTGAGATGATCAGGTTGATTGTGTTCCTCGCCACGCGGAAGCTGTACATGATGCTGGGGTATCACCTGAAGCCAGGAACCTCAATGTGATGGCTAGCTTCAAGTCTGGAGGCAGCACCCTTCTCCTATATGTATCCTGCTTCTGTATTCTTGGTCCCACTTTCTGCACCAACTCATCAAACATGGCAGGCTCCATCCTAAGGTAGTTGAAGAATGACTGCGTGTCCTCAAATCTGAGCTCTTCCATCAGTATTGTGTAATGTCAAACAGCCTTCTACTTTCCTCTGTCAGCCATGGTCTGGTCTGGAATCTCCTCGGTCTTCTCCTGTTTTTTTCCATATCTCTTTCAATCTGGGCTTGCTGGAGGACAGCAATCGGGAGCACCGCAACATGGTCCAGGTGGTCCATACTCTATGGGAGTTGGGCGGTGACTGATGAATAGTCCAGATTCAAGCGGTTTTTATACCCCATCGTGGACAATTCCGGCAGCATTCTTGATGCATACCGGACATTCGTGTTACATTCTAAGTGCATTTGAAGGACATTTGAAATATTCGAGCTGCATTCTGTTTTAATTCTTTTAACATTCGACCCATATTCGGGGGCCATTCCAAGAAGGTTCTGAATGCATTGTCTGTAAATTCGTGCAGCATTCGAGGTACGTTCCACCTGAAATTCGAGTGCTATTCACGCAGCAATCGATCCGGACTCGTACTGCAGTCGAAATTCATTTTAAGTATTCTTAGTGTATTCTAACGGCGTTCTAGCTGTTCCGATTCATTCGAACTGCATTCGTGATCTAGTACATTTGGAATGAGTAAGAATAATTCGAGGCGGGTTCGAAGTGCGTTCTAAGTATTCCAACAGCATTCTTACAAAGCTTGCAAAAAATTGTTTATTCAGACATTCTCTCTCGAATGCGGTTCGAATTTTGGAAATATTTTTTTTCTGGCTGATTCTCCTTGATTCCTGTCAATTCGAAATAAGTGTGAAGGACCCTTAACAAACGCTTCGTATGTACGTGTAGAACATAGTGTTCCGTAAGTCATTAAAACATGCACTTGAAACTTTATCTATCGAGAAAATAGAAACATTCTCTATTCAACTTATCTCTCCACCAATCAGTATTTCCCAAACAACTTAAAACCATTTAAATTACCGTCCTATAGCACTTACATCCTGGGTATCAGAATCATTTGAGAAATGTACATTTAAATATGTATTCAGTTTCCACAAAGATAACCATTATGATGTGTAGACCAGAGTATTACGTAATCCATTAAAACATGCACGCTGCCACGTCATGAAATAAACGTTAGCTGAAAAATCTATTTAGTATCATTCTGTTAATTTTCTTGCATGTGTAAATCTTATTAGTGCGTTAGTAATTACAATAAGTAAGTAATGCAAATTCAAAATAAATGCCACTCCAATTCAAAACTTGGATGTGGCTGTCAAGTTGTTGACAATCTGCGTGACAAGTGATACGAAGCCAGATGACAACCCCGATCTATGATGTATTTCAAACTATAGTATGACCAGAAATTATTGAGAATTTTAGGAATATGTTTAATTGGATTTCTATTTTCGAGTATAAACAATTAACCATGACCAGCTCCCAAGTGCGTGGGTTCACTCAAGAGAGACAACTCCGTTAATCCTTTTTCATTATTTTTATGAAGAGTTATCCCCCTTTGTTTACTTGCTAGCAGACGACATTCCTCAGTATGGATGATTTAGAGAAGAGAAAGTTGATTTTAGAGTATTATAACAAGGACATCAGATCATCTAAAGTGATTTCAAGTAGAACAGGCATCCCTTTGTCCACTGTTTATCGTGTTTTGGAAAAATATTGCAAATGGATATGGCATGGAGCACCAGGGAGGCGCAGGTAGGCCCAGACAATTGACTGTCGGTGACAGGAGGCGGCTTGGTATTATTGTTTCTAAAAACAAACGAAGGAGTTTGGAAAACTTAAGGCTAGATATGATTGATAGAGGAACTGTGGCTGTCTGTAAGGAGACAATTAGAACTGAGCTGCATGCAATGGGTTGGCAGAAAAGTCGAGGAATTCCATCACCGATCATTAAACCTGAACAAAAGGAGCAGAGGTTGAACTGGTGCTTACAGCATAGAAATTTTAACTGGGACAATGTGATTTTCTCAGATGAAAGTTCTGTGTGTCTGTTTCCTAAAACACTGAAATTCTGGACCAAACAAACTGAAAAACCTTTGTATCAGCGCCCAAAGTACAGTCCGAAAGTTTACGTGTGGGGTGGCATATCTGTGTTAGGGGCAACGCCCCTCTGTGTATTTGAAGGGAATATGAACAGTGAGCGGTACACAGATATTCTTGAGGGACATTTACTTCCATCTGCTCACGTGTTCTATGGATATTTGTGGATTTTCCAGCAAGACAACGACCCAAAACATCGTTCAAAGCATTCACAGGCCTGGTTTCGGACCCAAAATATGACATTATTAGATTGGCCAAGCTATAGCCCTGACCTAAATCCAATAGAAAATGTTTGGGGACTTATGAAGGAAAGTGTCAATAAGAACAAATCTGACAAATATTGCTGAAATGAAAGAAGAGGTGGTCCGATATTGGGACAGCATGGACCACGACTTTCTCACTTCTTTGATCAGTAGTATGCCCCGCCGCATTGAAGCCTGCATTGCTGCCCATGGTGACTTGGCAAAATACAAACTGTTCACCTGTCTTTGAATCTGGAGTTATGTTCTGCTAATATCCACATTTAATACGTGAGTATTGAGTCAAAAATAAACAATTACAATCTTTGAATTTTCAATAATTTCTGGTTGTACTGTAAGTAAAGTTGTAGGTTTACTATGATGATTTCACGTTTCTTTGTTGTTTCCTGGTTTTAAACCCTGTTCCAGTTAACTCGTGGAATTATCACGAAATATCCCTAAAACATCTTCACTGATGAATATATGCACATCCGACTTGAAAGTTGAAATAAGGTCACGTAAAACGACAGGCATTTTGTCCTCATTTTCAAACGTTTATCAGCAGTCGTACAATCGTAAATATATATTAATGTGTTTTGAAACCTCTCATTTACAGTCTAGAGCTCCAACGTAATGTGATCCTGCCTTCATTTGCAAGTGACACCGACAAACGTATGTCCATTTGATTTGTTTCGTTATTGTCTAAATCATGAGAAGTGTACATGCGTAAGTAATGGACATAAAACATTTCATACGTCATTTAATTTATACTAGTCATTAGCGCTATGTACCGATAACATAAACTGATATCCACAGCACTCGGAACGAAGCATTCATAGATAGTCAGTAGTGTTGCATTTTCATCAAAGGTAATGTCGCGCACGGCCCTTTGCACTGACATGAGTTATATGAATTGCAGTTTGCAAATAACATAATACATGTACATACCATTCGGTTTCCAAGATTGTCTCAATAACAGTATTGCATGTCCAATCACCATATAGCCAGTTGCTTTATGAATGTCAGTGCTCTCGTTGACCCGTATGTATGTTTATAATCCTGACTGTATATGTTTTATTGCCTTATTAAATCAATAGTTACAATTTCAGCAGATTTTGTAAGACAGTCGCGAGAGGTGCGTTAAGGGAGGAAACACTGACATACACATGAGCAATAATCAAACTCCACCCACCTTTTAAGGTCTGAAACAATACATGTTGTTGTGTATGCTTTCAAAACGAATTCCGCGTGTAACATGTTTTACTGATTAAATAAAAATAAAAACTGAAATTGATAGTTGGGGTAACAATTTACTTACAATCTGCAAGGAATACGTGAATATCAACAATGCAGGAAAGTAGAGTCATCATAACTAAGCCACCAGTCTGATTCTCATACAGTTCTCAAACATACTGAACAATACTAGAAATGTACCACCAATATAATGCGAAATATCCCCATCAGATTGAAATGTACCCATGTTATCTTATGATCGTCTGGAAGCTTAGAGATTCCTTCAACAAAGAACAAAAACATTTTTGCGAAAAAATATTTATTGACAGAGCATGACACGTATATAGGCACCAGGGGTCAAAACCCAAAGTCACAAGCTGTAAACACTTTTAGTAGCTGGTGTGTCCACCATTGGCGTTGATTACTGCAACACAGCGCTGTATGAGAGAAAAGATCACCGTCTTGATTATTTGCTGGGGTATCTGTTGCCATAGACGTTGCAGGTTGACCTCCAATTGACGGACATTGACATCAGGTTGTTCCATTAATAGATGTCGGCCCATTTCACCCCAGACGTGCTCAATGGGGGCCAAACCCGGTGACAGAGCTGGCCATGGAAGCACATCCACATTGTTTTGTGTCAAAAAGTCCATGGTGTGCCTTGCTGTGTGTGCTCGAGCATTATCTTGCTGAAGGATTTGGAGACGTGGATGGCGTTCAGATGGGGAATGACGTGGTTTTGTAAGACGTCGTTTCTGTATGTGGTGGTATTAACACGTCCTCGAAACACATGTAGTGGTGTTCTTGAATGATCACTGATGCCGCCCCAAACCATCACACTACCCCTACCCTAACGCGTTAGCTACCTGTCGCACACCGTAATCCGCATAGCGTTCTCCCCTTTCGCCATACACGAACTCTACCAGCTTCGTGACAGAGATGAAAAAGAGATTCATCAGTGAAGAGTACACCTCCCCACTGTCGCTGCGTCTGTCTTCGATGGGTTCCAGCCCAGACTAATCGAAGCTGTCCGTGCCAGGGTGTCAATATGGGGCCATTGTAGGGACGCCGAGCGTTGAGGCCATACTGACGTAAACGGCGCCGTATGGTTTGGTCTCTTATGATTCCACGTCGCCCTTGGATTGTCAAAGCTGTACGTGTAGAAGTCTGGGTTTTTTCCGTAAATAGCACAACACAATGTGTCGATCTTGTCTGGGCGTGGTGACACGTGGTTGTCCAGGACATTGGCGGTCACGCGTACTTCCAGTCGGCTGCAAGCGTTGGCGGAGTCTGACGATTGTGGAATGATGGCAGATGAATGTTTGAGCCACTTCCCGACCATCCAGCATTCACGTACCCCACTGCTCTTTCTCGTTGTTCCGATGTCAAACGTGGCATGGTAAACAGGGTCAAGTACTGTTGATTCTTACTTAAACTGGTGATTAACAGTTTGGAAATTGTGGTCATTTAGACCCATGTGCATGTGTGGATATTTCATCAGAATTCTGACTAATTTTGATGATATAGAGTCACAGATGTGGCTGCGTTTTGATGCAACAGTCCAAACCATCATGTGTGTTTTACAAGTTGAGATTCAACTTGGCGTCATACGAAACGCAACCCTACACCATCACCGAACTACAACCAAAGGGTTAAGCTCTATGGGTTATCTCCTGGTGATATTCTCGTAATAATGTTTCCATTAGCGACAACGCCCATCTTTAGAAGATAGCGACTTTCAACAAACCAATGAACCCAACGCCATGTCATCAAGGTCTCTTTGGAGCCTGCACCACGCCAGACGCCCCTTTCAACCCATCTGGGCAAGGGACGTTTGATCTGATGATGTTCCCACAGACCTCCTTTTGATGCTGGTGCTGGTGCTGGTGCTGGTGAAGAGTAGGACTCGCACTCTCCATTGCCAGCGAAATCCTTTGGCATCTGCCATGGGATTGCCAGGCGAATTAGGATACGGTCATTGCCTTCACTGGTCTTTCTCGGTCTTCCAAGTCTTGGACGATGCTTTACTCCACCGATGGCCACTTGCTTCCTCACAAGTCGGCTAATGGTTCATGTTTAAATTGCGACAGCACACCGACACGCCATGCATGCCAATACCTTGGCATGGTGTATTTCCGGATCATCCACGACCTTGCCACGTAGGGGAAAGTTCACTTTGAGTACTGGCATGAAGTGGCACGAAAATTATGCATACCAGAATTTTTGAACATTTCAAAATTTTCGTTGCGCACTGGTACGCAGCCGCGCACAGTTTATGCACACTTCACACCAGTTTACTCAGAAATTACTCATAATTGCGTACCAGTGTGAGGACAAAATTCGTGCAAGTTTCAGAGTGGCTTGATAGGAAAGACATTCCTTGTAAATGTATGGGAAAAGAATATTTTAAACTTATTGACAAAACAGGATATACTAGCTATAGAATAGACATACCTGTAACTGCTGGGCTCATTTGGGTGAGATTGCAGCTGGGTCAACAATATTTTCAGAATCCCGAGAAGGAAGAAAACGTTAACCTGTGATAATGCAAAATCATAGATATGAGCTCACCAAGTTAAAGAACTGACGATGGCACACAGAAAAGAGTATGCATCAAGAAACCCAAGGAAACGCAAGTATCTCAACAATGGGTAAGATATGTACATGATCAAAGAAAGCCTAATGAACAAATGCCACGTGCACATCTAACAGATACAATAGTGAGTGAACGAGGGAGACTGGTTGTCTATTTTTTTAGACAACAACAAGACATGTGTGGAAACAATTATATACATTTGAGAAATCTAACCGGGATGGCTGTTGTGAGGACATATTCTTATATAGCCATCGAGATACAATAATCGGAGTACACACATCAAAGAGGAAATAATGACATAGAACTGATTCTTAAATGTGAAAAACAATAAATTAAATGTATATTACAAAATTGTATATTTAACTGTCTTACCAGGATACAAAGAAGGTTTGGAACGTACACGAGCCATTCAAAGCTGCCAGCATTTTGGACCCAGCAGCTGTTTGACAAAGAGATGATAGTATCTTCCGTAAACATTTAAAGTCGATAACAACCTACTTATATAGAGATGCAACGATTAATAATACGTTCACTCTCCGGTACAAAACGGGTGGTATGTGAGGAAGATCTTATTAAAGCTGGGTTTTGTATGCGAACATAAATATTGACCTTTTCACGAAAGTTGAAGAGAAAGAGTTTCACAATTTATGTTGGTACATGTATACGATGTTTGTTTTTGGTTTTTTCTGTAGGATTACCATAAACTGCAACATTTTCTCTCGGAAATTGACTTATGTATTTTGGTAAAGTTCTGTTTGACATGGCAGCAATTACTTTTCCACGATACTTGCACTTTTAAATGAGGCTACAACGACTGAAAACTTTACGCCTTCACCATTGTTAGGTTGATCTTAAAGTGGCTGTACTCTATCACGCATGGCCTGACGTTTTCGCTAATAATATTCACCATAGGTTGCAAGCAAGAATTATGCTACCATCATGTTACAGGTACTCTGTGAAGTTCTTGATGACTTTCTCAACTAAAGGTGTCACGAGATGAAAATAATCGTTCACGGAAGATATGACAAATATATGCCCATTTCACATCTACTCATACAGCCAACAGTGTACTCCATACCAGCCCGTCCAAGTTTGGTGTCATCAAATACTTTTTGGTTTTCAAACAATCTTGTTTTCGATAAGCCAGCAATATATTAAACATCTTAATACTGATATCATAATAGCGTTCCAGTAGCCAATTCCCATCCAGTGCTTTACCCACGTGAAGGAGAAATAAATAGTACCAGAGAACCGCCTTTGTGTGTCATACTTACATCTGGGTATAAACATCTATCCGCCGGTATATATAGCCGGAATCGAACAATGGTCTCTGCTTTTAGCAGAGATTACTTATAATTATGGAAATAGTTTCATTTAAAATGCCCTTTGTTATGTCTATAATGTCTGTGCCAGTCTTATGCCATTGTTAGCAATATTCTAGATTTACCTCGGCGGGATATCCCACAGCTTCATACTAACGTCTTACCCTTTATCACCCCTGACCGCTCTGATCGCTGCGTATATCAGCACTGGAAGCAGCGGACCACCTGAAGCAGAAAACCGATTGTTTATCTCTGCATGACAGTCGTTTGTTCTATTAGGCTGACATGTTATGATAATTATGCTATAGGATAGCAATGCTGGGCGATATACATTAATATGATGGTTATGTATTGCTAAATATTATGATCAAATTAATTGGTGATTTACTGTTATATGATAGCAATACATAGATAACACATAAATGTGTACGGTTATATGGTAGTAATATTGGGTGATGTGTTGGTGTATGATAGTACTACTGAGTGATGTTCTGTTATATACTCTCCCAAAAAGGAAACGCATAGGTGACATTGATATATGAATTTCAAATATTTTTTTCAAAATTAGCGTTTGATTGCTATAATTTCGCTATTATAATGCTGGTTTGTGTACATGTTCGAATGCACGGCGCACAAACGCCTCTTCGGCAACGTTAATGTATGTTTAGGTTCGAAGGTGTCAATTTGAAAAATGTCATGGAGAGAAAGTGGCTCGAAATATGCGCGTAAAGTCCTGAGGAATCGTGAGGAGGGATATTGCCTATTTAAGTCTGTTTTAGCTAAATGAAAGAATATCATTATGCCACTAATCACTGCTATAAATCAAAACATTGTCATTGGACGTCTGGAGGCTGGGGAGTCTCAATATGACGTGCCACAAGTCACCTCAGTGTTTACGAGAGTAGCATCAGTTGTTTATGGGACCGATATCAACAAACCAATCCCACGCAAGATCGGCCACGAAGTGGTAGACGTCGGATTACCACTGCAGCGCAGGATAGGTACATCCGGGTACTTTATTTGCGGAAGTAAACTGTCACGGCAACTGCAACTGCAATGTCTGGTTTGAGGAGAGTGTAATAGATTCGTAATCGTTTACGAGAAAGTGGACTTCGAGCCAGAGGACCCTATTTTGCAAGAACTACTTCCATTGGTGCAATAACGATTTTAGAATCTACAAAACTTGCGATGTATTGTTCATTGATGAATGTCGCGTTCTGCTTAATGACGTAACGGAAGAGTACGTGTCGACGTCAAAATGAATGTTTTGCCCAGAATTGTGTCGAATCTGGTGGAGAAATCTAATTTTGGGTGCATTCAGAGCAATTTTACTGCAAGATACTGCCAGGCATCTCAAAGCACATGCCGCTATTCAGTATCTTCTGAATGAGAACATTACCGTGTTTCCATGGCCTTCAAAATCGCCCGAAATGCCGAGACTGTGCAACTTGGAAGGGATGCCTTCACTCATTGAACGTTTTATAGGCTGTACATGTAAACATATTTTGGTTCTTTTATACTGTGAAATTTGCCTGCAACTGAACCGGAATTACACGTGTTATCTCACTTTAATGATAGCAGAGTAAACGTATTGTTATATGATAGAGATACTGGGTGATGTATTATTATATGATAGAGATACTGGGTGATGTATTGTTACATGATAGAGATACTGGGTGATATATTGTTGTATGATAGAGATACTGGGTGATGTATTGTAATATGATAGAGATACTGGGTGATGTATTGTAATATGATAGAGATACTGTGTGATGTATTGTTACATGATAGCGATACTGGGTGATATATTGTTATATGATAGAGATACTGGGCGATGTATTGTAATATGATAGAGATACTGGGTGATGTATTGTTTTATGATAGAGATACTGGGTGATTCATTATTCTATGATAGAGATACTGGGTGATGTATTGTTACATGATAGAGATACCGGGTGATGTATTGTTATATGATAGAGATACCGGGTGATGTATTATTATATGATAGAGATACTGGGTGATGTATTGTAATATGAAAGAGATACTGGGTGATGTATTGTAATATGATAGAGATACTGGGTGAAGTATTGTTACATGATAGCGATACTGGGTGATATATTGTTATATGATAGAGATACTGGGCGATGTATTGTAATATGATAGAGATACTGGGTGATGTATTGTAATATGATAGAGATACTGGGTGGTGTATTGTTCTTCAGTAACACATGCTTGTCGTATGAGGCGACGGACGGGATCAGGTGGTCAGGCTCGCTGACTTAGTTGACACATGTCATCGTATCCCAGTTGCGAAGATGGCTGTTCATGCTGTTGATCACTGCATATGCTAGTCCAGACTCGATTATTTACAGATCACCGCCATATAGTTGGAATAGTGCGGAGTGCGGCGTAAACCTCACTCACTGTTGAGTCAACGCTGCATTCTTTGGCGTTTAGATTCCTGGTTGAACGTATTGTTTCAAGCTTGACGTAATCCCGTCTAGAGGTGGGATCAGTTAATTTGGAAGAATCGACTTACATGTCCAAAAACAGGACATGTGCACGGCGATAGGTGGGCACTATGTTGGTGAAATCTGACCGGACTTAAACGTGCCGGGGTCGTTGACGCCTACTTTCAACAGGAAACACTTCGCCTTGAATGGCCAGCCGTGTCACCAGACCCAGACCCTATGGAACATATAAATAGCTGCTGCTGACCTTCTCACGACGCCCTGTCGCCATGGCAACTTTATAGCACCGCGGCAACTGTAATAGTATGGAGATGAACTGTCTTTGAATATTAACATATCTGTACAGTAGTACGCGTAGAAAGGTTTGTCAACCAATCACTACCACCACGTACTAATGAGCCTTGGATCATCGATGTGTATGTCAAGGAATTAAGATGTCTACAGTTAGATCTGTACCATTAGTGGCAGCTTTACAGCCATAAGTACACTTGTTTTTTGGTGATCACTTATTTATGCTGAAATTGGAACCTACATGTCGTTAGCAATTCCCCTGTAGAAAGGGCTGCATTACAGCAGGCATAAAGAGAATGTTAAATCTGATTCCGATGTAAAACCACTTCACGATCTTTAATGTAAACGTCAGTGGTACAAAGGGACTCAAATGGATGCTACTGTTTCGTGGCGCGTGTGCCAAGCTTAGATGAATAGTTGGGTTTTGCACGGCTATTAGCAAAATTCCCCCAATATAGTTCTCAGGAATTGGTGTCGTCGGTAGAGAGTTTTGACTATGTACTGTAACATTCTACCAGAAAGATCCTACAGGGATACAGAGAGACGCTGAACAGTCGTCCTCACATCGTCACATGATACGTTCATAACTGTCTATGCAGAAGGCTAACAGAGGCTGCTAATGAAGAAACACACACCGAAATGTAAACTATGTCTTGCAATACCATGTAATTACCGTGTATTAATTATCTTACATGCACAGGTATCCTTAGACATTATTCAGCAAATATGCGAAATGAACACTGTCAGGCCAAGTTTCGTCTTCATGTGTATGCTTGTTTGAGAGGAGAAGACGGAAATGCAGTGACACGAGATAAACAGGGTACGTCAAGGTCAAAGGTTTCACGGAGTTTTTGTACCCCTCTGAGGGGTACGTGGTCTAGACTACCCGGATGGGACTCAACCCAACAAAAGTACTAGAATCTGTTCTTTACTAAGAAAGTGTAATCTCAAATGTAAGATGTGTTATATGGTTAGAACTACAAGAATCTAATATGGTCACCAGACCAGGTCACCAGAACAAAAACTGTTCAGCAAATCGAGTTACTACCGACTGCCAAGTTCTAACAATATATTTGTGGTAGTAAATAAAGACGGAATTGATTACGGAAGATGTCTACCTCACTGAAACGTCAAAGGCCTCTGACCATCCGCCGAAACACGTGACTTTTGACATAAGATCAAGAATAGAAACCAACTATGTATTTCAGCAACCAAAGGCGACATGCTTTTTATGTTGCATAATTGCACTGTGTTTCATCGGCACAAAGTATGGACATTTTGGAAACTTTTGAGCTCGTAGCTGGGTCAAACATCAACTGGGACACTGTCAAAACACTTACAAACAACAAACATCATTACACTCAACGCAAATTGGCCGAGGCTTTACATATACGCCGTTATAATCCGTCTATTAACAGGGATCATGGCTATTTCATCCCATCAGCTTACAACCACCTTATCCCACAAATACTTAATCCAATGATTTACTATGATTTACCTGCCTAATTCACATTCCTCACCACTGGTTTCCCTCTAATTGATCCCCGCCTCTTTGGCTTCTGCGGGGAATTAACTTACATTCACTAATTTTCATGGTAATCTCACTCATCTCATTTATGTTATTTTAGCTCATTATCATGTAATCGTAACTCATCATGCAACTTTTTTTGATACTTTGTTATCCCACCTTTGTTATTGTTATCTCATTATCATATGTACATGTATCTTGTATATAAACTGGTGTACCCCATCATCCCCCCATATGCTTGAAAGCGTTATAAGAAGCTATACCGAAACGTCGCTATTGTGAAAATAAAGAAGTTGTTCATTCATAAAGTTTTGTCAGCTCTGTATTGATGCAAAATGAATTCCTTTCGAGGTAATAAATCATTATTATTAAAAAAAATTACACATTAAAAATGATATGCAGCAGAGAGGGTTCTGGAGATCCTCACATAGTCGGGCTGGTAAGGCTCATCATCAGATCAGGGCCCTCGCCCCCTCTACACGCAGCCCAGAGAGCGAACAGGACTTCTCCCAGGAAACGCTACCTAGTCGAACCAACCAAGAACTTTCCGGAGAATATGTGGATTTCCCAACACTGCAGTCTTGTGCATTACCCAGAAGGGCTGTGTTCCCGGGCTGTGCTTGATCTGCGCCAAGAGATCAGGAGGCACCAAACCATGGGCACCGAGAACAATGGGGAGACTGACGACAAGTGTACTGTCGGCAAGCAAGACATTTCAGGGGCGATGTCCGCAAACTTAGCATGCTTTTCTTGAATCATACCAATAATGTTGCTGTCAAAAAGGACAGAAATTCATTAACTTTATCAAAAAGGACAAGCTCAGGTTTGTTTGCTAGAATTCTGGCTTGACTGCTATTCTGTTCCTCACACTGCATGTACACACGATGAGGTGGTTTCTCATAAAGTTTCTCCACAAATGACCGACTCTGGGCAGA